AGCACCATACCTGTTCGTTATCGTTCACAGCGCCATACCTGTTCGTTACCGTTAGCTCTCCAAACAACAGGAAGCCAGAGTTTGTCTTTTCAAACTGTGAGTAGCCGGCACGAGGTCGCTCTCTGGTCTCTGTTGTACATAAAGGGGACTTTTATTATTTTAAAATTATTTTTAAAAATTAAGTAAAATCACCTTATTGTAATGAGCTCACAAATAGAAACAACACACACTAGATTAAGGTAGCTACTCAAACAGACACTTGTCCAGCCCCGAATTCTCTGCATCGGTGGGCTTCTGACCACAGGAGGGCCATTCTAAAGCCATGGAGCTCTGCTTGGGGTTGTGTACTCTCATTTACATTTTTATACGCTTGTCCACCACAAAAGAGAGAAAACTGACAGATTTGAACTAGAAAACAATTAGCTTTCTGTCCTCTCCCATGACACATGTCACTTGGCCTGCGGTCTGTCCTTCGATGGCACCTGAGGTTACCCTTTCTTGGTCCCCTTCCTGAATGTTACTCAATATCTACACCTAAGAGCTGTTTACATACATACATGCATACATATATACATGTGTCCTTCAGAGGCTGGCATCCATGCATGAAAAAGGTAGGTCCTGTGGTTTTTTTCTTAATGAGTTGGGTCATTTATTGTGCTTTTTAAATTTCATTGACAACTGAATAATACTCCATTTGTATGTGTACCCGTTTTTATTCTCTGTCTATTGACGGACATCTGGATCGGTTCTGTTTCCTTACTCTGAGTAGAGCAGCCATAAACTCTCATGTGCGGATATCTCTGTTGTGGGTATGGAGGGCCCGGGGCGTGTGCCCGGAAGTGGAATGGCTCAGTCATCAGGCAATAATTTATTTAAATTCATTTTATGTGCCTTGGTGTGAGGGTGTCAGGTCCCCTGGAAGAGCAGCCAGTGCTCTAACCGCTGAGCCTCTCTCCAGCCCCGCCTGGTAGTTGTGGTCTCACGTTCTGAAGAACCTCTAGCTGGTTTACATCATGGCTGTATAAATGTGCTCTCCCAACACTTCCCCACACCAGCTCCTGTGTTTGTTGACAGATTTCCTTTTTTTTAAAGTACTTTTTAAGAGTCAGTTTATTTTTGGTATGTATGTGTGTATATGGGGGTGGGTTGGGGAGTATTTACATACATGTCTTGTCCATACAGGTCAGAAGTTTCAGATCCCATGGACCTACAGCTATAGGTGTTTGGGAACTGCCAGATATGAGTACTGGGAACCTGGGAACTGTTGTTTTTTTTTTTTACTCCTTGGGGGCCCACCACCAGCTCCAAACCACACACACAGACTTTTCCTTACTTAAGAATGCCCAGCCTTAGTTTGGCTTATTTCTAGCTAGTTTTTCTTAACTTAAATTATCCGGTCTACCTTTTGCCTCTGGGCTTTTATCTTTCTTCTTACTTCTGTATATCTTACTTTCACTCTTACTCCGCTGGCTGTGTGGCTGGCCTCTGAAGCCCTCCTCTCTTCCTCCTTATCTCGTTCCTCAGTCCTCTCTCCTCCTCTTTATCCTCTCTGCCTGCCAGCCCCGCCCATCCTCTCTCCTGCCTTGCTGTTGGCCGTTCAGCTCTTTATTAGACCATCAGGTGTTTTAGACAGGCACAGTAACCCAGCTTCACAGAGGTAAACAAATGCAACATAAAAGAATGCAAGACATCTTTGCATCATTAAACAAATGTTCCACAGCATAAACAAATGTAACACATTTTAAGTTAATATTCAGCAACAGGGAACCGAGCTCAGGTCCTCTGGAAGAGTAGTATAGGCTTTTAGCCATCTCTCCAGCCCTACTGATGGCGGATTTCTTGATGAAAGCCATTCTGACCGGGTTAGTTGTTGTCTCAAAGTAATTTCATTTGCATTTTAAAATGTCGTGTGTGTGTGTGTGTGTGTGTGTGTGTGTGTGTGTGTGTGTGTGTGTGTTTTGAGAAAAGGTTTCTCTGTGTAGTCCTGGTTGTCCTGGAATTCGTTCTGTAGACTAGGCTGGCCTCGAACTCAGAGATCTGCCTGCTTCTGCCTCCCGAGCCTGAAATTAAAGGTGTGCGCCCAGCTAAATGCCCTATTTCTAAGAGGGTCACATACTCCCTTCTCCAGGAAATAGCAGAGGTGGTTGTCCGGCCTGGGGTCCTGTGTCAGCAAAGACTGCAGCTTCTGTGTGGAAATTGCCTTTGCTGAGTTTTCACTTTGGGCTTCCATAACATTTCTGCCATTTTTTTTTTTACTGATGTTTTTAGTAGATGTCAAGTTTTTAAAAAGGGGTTTCCTTGATTATTGCCCATTTCTCTTTTCCTTTTAAACAGAAGCCTAAGTTAGGCTTGAGCTGACATTCCATCATGTGGTGTTCTAAGAGCACAGTGGTCCTTTGGGAACCCTAACACAGCCAGAGCTGACGTGCCAGCACATTTCCAGCGGTCATTGTTTCTCAGCCACAGTTTCTCGCCCAGCCCTTCCATTTCACATTAAACCTGAATGTCTTAAGCCTGGACTGTTGGACGTGAAATGCAAACCCCTGTAGAGGTTGTGGGCAGGGTAGACGTAGAGAACAATAGGAAGATCTTCTTTAAACACATGGCCGTTGGTGGAGGGTGCTTTGTATGCTGCGCGTGGTGTGTTCTCTCCATTCTGTGTCCCGATTAGTGTGTTAGTGCAGATGTTGCATTGTGTTTCCAGCTGTAGACGCTAATCTCAGTGACTTGCAGACAGCGGAGTTAATTCACATAGTTGGTTGTTAAGTAGGCCATCCATCCATTGCCCACATGGCAGTCCAAGACTATCCTGAAAAATTGTTGTTGAATTTGGGGCTGTGGCTTTTCCTTGAGGAGAGTCACTGGGGCCAGAGATGAGGCGGGGCCGCTGTTCCCGCCCTGGGGAAGGGAAGCAGCGTTGTCTCTCATACCGGGTCTGACCTGGGTCTGCTCTCTGCAGCTGAGGACTACCTGTCCTTCGCCTTTGCGCACTGCCACCGCTCCAGCCAGAAGAACAAGAGGATGATTCTCATCTACCTGCTGCCAGTGAAGATGCTGCTGGTGAGTGATTGACAGCGGTCTCTGTGGCTGGCTGTGGTGATGCTGCTGGTGAGTGATTGATAGCAGTCTCTGTGGCTGCCAGTGAAAATGCTGCTGGTGAGTGATTGACAGCGGTCTCTGTGGCTGGCTGTGGTGATGCTGCTCATGAGTGATTGACAGCGGTCTCTGTGGCTGGTTGTGGTGATGCTGCTCGTGAGTGATTGACAGCGGTCTCTGTGGCTGG